CATTGAACTTAAAATTTAAGAAGTTGGATTCTTATTTCCTTGTAAAGTTTTTGGCACCAGAAGTATATTTTTCTACAAAATTTAGAGGCGTTCCGTGCTTCGATTGTTTAAGGTGAACGCCTCGTGCAAACCCCAACCAACCATTCTTTGTATCCAGGTGTCCAAGTGTGTTGTTGTTCATTGCACCTTTCTAAAGTCAACGGCATCAAAAATCTAGTTTGCTTTCACAAAGATTAGAGGAGTTACGTTCGGTGACAGTTAAAATCTTTGGGTTGATGGTGTTGCTCGGTTAGAAGAACGAGTTTAGAAGAGGAGATCGATGATGGTCTTTTATTAATGTTTAGAGATAGATATATTTTTGATAACCTAAAACTGTAATATTTGTGATAGTGGATATTTAATTGCGGCTGTGGATATAGCTCTAGGGGACGAACCACATCATAAATCGTGGTTTTTTATGTTTGTTTTATTTCTCGCACTCACTTTATATTTGCATTCATCTACTTTATATTTAACCAATCATGTACACAATCTTAGGTGGGATCCGAATACCTGGTATTCCGATAACTCGGAGTGGGGTGCAATAAGCATGGTTGAGGTAATCTCCAACATCTTCTTTTATTTCATGCAAATTTATTTTTATTCTCAAGCATAGTAGTTAGTTGTATAAATGGCATCAAGTGGTTGAGTTTTATTTTATTGTTAAGTTGTTTTTATTTTGAAATATTTATTGATTGTAATAAGACCACAGGTAAGTGATCTTTTTGTCAAAGCAAAAGTGGTGATTAAAAAAAATAAAAAAATTATATTTACCGGCAAAAGGTCACATAGTTTTTACTTTCATAATCCAGTGTTGGTCCTGCCTACGGAGGGTCCCAGGATGGGTGAGATGGAAATGATCATAACCTTTGGCTGTCCTGTTTGACTGTCCTGTTCCGGGACCAGCTAAGTTTGCAAACACTGCTTTATTGTATAGAATTTTATTATCCAGAATTATCATGAGAAAGTTATTTTCCAATGACTTGTGCATGTACGAGTTCGTGATGAGATATGGTGATGCAAACCAGTTGTCCTAAAGGCCCAACGTGATGCATGTGACTTACGCACACGTGGTGGGGTAAGGCTGTTATTTGCTAGGATTTAAAGAAACTGTGACACAACGAAAACCAAACAATTAGGCCCAAACCTTTGGCGGTCCATCAACCTTGTCCTAATATGACCCAAACTTATCAAGATACACCTAGCTAATCCCATCACTAACACGAATTACCAACTTAACCTAAATCTCATCGCCCTATAATTAAATGTCGCATGAGACCTATGCTTCATAATGAACTCCTTAAACATGGGAGTGATAGCGATGTTCTTCAGGACCAGCTGGTGGACCCAATGTTTCCTAGATTCATAGATTTGAACCCATTTTTCTTCTTCCTAAAATTTGGCACGCATTGGAGTCGTGCCGCATAAGAACTCGATACTCATTCTCTCCCTCCCTTCTCTCTCTCTCTCTCTCTCTCGGGTTAGGAACCCTTTTAAATGCTTACCCAGAGAGAGTCATTTCTCTATTCCTACAACATCAATAAGGAGTTTAGGTTTGCAATAGTTGGGGGAAGTATGTGTGATCCAAGCCCTAGGAAATTTGCTTTGCTAGTGACTGGGGTTCTAAACCCACAATTTACCAGCCGTTATGGAACCGTTACACAAATATTTGAAAGGTTTCTAAAGGAGGCGGGTGAAGTATGGGATACCTTTCTGGTGGCTAATGGAGATTTCTCCTTCATGGATGGCATTGATGACTACTCAGGCTTTGTGGTCACAGGAAGTCAATTTGATGCTCATGCCAACGATCCATGGATCCTTCAACTTTGCCAAACCCTCAAATGTTTGCACCATATGAAGAAGAAGATTCTTGGCATATGTTTTGGCCACCAGGTTAATCTCGCTATTAGCATCTCTCTTTTTCTTTTCTTTTTTGGCATGTTAAAGCACGCTTTGTATTAGTCAATGTAGAAATGAGTTACTTACCCAATTTTTTTTTTACTTACCCAAAAAAAATATACGTAGAAATGAGTCATTTTATTAGAAGATTGATCCCTATCTAAACACACGGTTTGACTTCACCGTGTATTGTAGTTGATTGACCCATATCTAAACACAGTTTCACTTCACCTTGTATTTTACTTTTAATATCTATCTTCTTATATCCACAAATCCCACAAATATTGGGATTGGGATATTGCTTTTGTAACTTATATAAACACGTAATAGAAACAACACAACTTCTTCTCTCTCTAATTTCTTTTAATCACACCTCTTAAAAATCTATTTTTGAGAAGGATTTTTGGACTTAATTTTGAAGGACATGTAATCTCCAACATGAAGATCATGAATATGAAAAAATACATAAATTTTAAAAATAAAAAATAATAATTTTATTTAAAAAATATTTGAACGGTTATTTTTAATTGTTTTTAGATGAACCACCTATTTTGCTTTATATCTTGTGACCGCATATGGTAGAAATACGATCCAACCTACATGAAACCATTTTCGTTACAAAATTGTATGAACCCAGCAAAAGGGTGATTACAAAGGAAGATCGAAACAAAAAGCTCACAGAAAGACAAGCTGCCAACGCCTAGCTCCTGTCACACTAACTATTGCCGCTCGAAGTTAGCAAGCCTGTCGACCTCATTGGCTTTCGTAAAAGTATGTCTTAATTCAACATCAATTAGTGTAGAAAGGTGCCACAAAAAAGGACGTACTTTTCAAAAGGGATTGAAACACCATCTTATTTTGTTTAGAGAATCTCTTTCTATTACTCTATAACCCCACTTTTTCCCCTTTTTTAAAAAATAAAAATAAAAATAAATTTAATATTTACGCAGTTATAATGAATAGAAATATAGATGAAATCCCAATCATCAAATCTTTATCAGGCGGTTCAAAATTCATATCATTATTTGAAATTTAATCCTTTTTTTTCTTTCTAAAAATCAGATCGTAACAAAATTTTAGATGTGTTTACTAAAAAATAGGATACACAATAAAAATAAATATAAAAAATATTTCTTAAAATAAAAAAAGATCGAAATACCTCTGAAAAATTATAGGGGTAATTTTGGTCATTTTAAATTATTGAAAGTAATTGTTTTACATTTTTATAAGGTGCACAATAGAATTAAGGTATGTACAACCAACATTTCATCTTAATCTAATTTATATAATATATATATATATATATATATATATATATATAAGAAAATGCTGAGATTATTTCACTAGCTCATATGAGCCCAATGGAGATTGAATCTGGGCCAATCTGATGGTCACGACCTCATTTTGTATTTGAATTTTACTTTTTTCTAAAAAAATCTAAATAACTTGAAATTTTAGGAGTCCATTATTCTCATCAAGGCACACAGGGGATAGG